GCGTGATAGATTTTGGAAATTACATGTCATCTGTCTCGCGTGTAAAAGAAAAACTAATTGTTCAAAATAATAATAACAACAACAACTATAAAAATAAAAATAAAAGTAAAAGTAAGTAAGCGCCAACGTCCCATCCCAACCATCCAGATTCCAGACTCTCCAACAATTTGGAAGATTAATTAGTTCATCCTCCCCTATTTATATTTTTAAGAATAAAAAGTCAATATGAAAAATAAATCTATTTTCAGCCATAAAAGTATACCAATTGAATAATTTCAAATTCAAAATGTTGTCTAAATATTGTTGGGTAACCGAAGTAAAAGGGAACAAAAATGATACTTTGATTTGAGATCTTAGGTAAGTTTGAGCAACCTAGAGAAATCTAAGGAAATACGAAATAAGCACTCCAAATCCAATAGTAGTGTTTTTTACTTAAAAATAATTTGCAGCACTTCATGCAAATGACTCGAGAAATTCTTAATATTTAAGTAATTGTACAAAGAGATGTACAATGCAAAACAAACGACCATGAATCTCATATATATAGACTATTGGTTATCATTCAAATACTTATATATTTTTATGTAAAGTTATGTCTTTTCATAAAATCACACAATAATCTTTATAAAAGACCATCATTTCATGAAAAGTTGTAATTTTTCATTTTTTATTCAAAATAATTTCATTCATAAATCCCAACCGCAAGTGTTTATATACCGTGTAGGCCAAGAATAAAAACAACTTAGTACAACTAATTATTAATTACTTGTACAACAAACTTAACTAAGTATAAAGTAATATACCCAAAAGAAAAAAAAAAGCTAAGCATGAAGTAGTGACTACACATCTAATATTGGGGAGTGCAAATAAATGAATAATGTCCCATATGTACACAAGAGGAAGTTTCATGAGGTATATAAGTATGGGAAATCTTGATCATTTGTATAATTTTTTAAGTTTATACCTCCTGTGAAATCAAAAGTAAAATCGTTAAAATTCTGTTCAAAATAAACATATCAGCCATTGTAACAATTATAGATTGTGTTAGTTGTCCCGACAAATACTATCATTTTATCTTTGTTCTACAGTATGTAGTACCTATGGAGAGATGATATGACATATGAAAGAGATATATCATGAGATCATACAAGAATTGTTAATAAAGACTCGAATCAAATTGATAGTAACTATCTATATTAACAAATTGTACTTTACTTTTCAGTGACTTGATCATAAGAACTTCAAAATTAAGCATGTTTGGCCGTTTGGGTTAGGTAAACTCTTAGGTATTTTTTTAACAAGTGAGGACAAAACATGCTAAAAGAATCTATGTTGGTTTGTAAAGATAGTCTTCCCCTCCCAAACAGTTTAAGTAAATATAATAGTTCATCAGATCACAGGAGAGGTAGGGAAATACTGGGATCACCCACCAGGTGCTGAATATGGATTCCAACCCTGAGTGGGGAGTAATATACTTCTAAAAAGAGTATAAATTTTTTTTTTCTATTATGAGTTATATGAAATAATAGTTTATATGCATAATTATATCTAAAACCTTCCCACTAAAAATGTGGGTCTACTCATCAAAAAGTATGTTACTTTAATTTATAATTCCGCCCCATTCAAATGTCTTTTTCGCTCCCTCTAGGCTCTTCATTATATATAGGTACATCTGCATATTAGAATATTTACATAAATAGCCGAGCTAATAATGTATTATTTGATTATGATTGATTACCTTATCGATACTTCTTATTCAATATTTATAAAATATTATAAAACGATACTTAAATCTTAAAAGTTGTCAGTTAATTGATTCTTTCTCAAATAAGTCATAATATTTTAAAATTGTCTCTTAAAATATATATATATATATATATATATATAATATATTTTTAAATTGTCAATTTTACCTTCAATGTATTTAGCCTTAGTATAAGAAAACCTCATATTATTTTAATGTATCTATTCCTAGATCCTAAGCAATCATCTTCTTTATAAATAAAATTTATCTATTTATTTATTCAACCTCAAGTATATTTTACTTTTTGTTAACATGAGTTTAACTTAGCGGTAATTGACCGTCTTTCTATGTTGTACTAAAAAAACCTAAATTTTACTTTTAACTAGACTAAATTGTTATTAATATGATGCTATGACATAAGGTGAATATAAAAAATATCATGCACATATATATTTTTTTAATATACTAATATTTGAAAGTAGAGATTCGAAATCCAGACCTTTTCATCCATCTTAATTAAACCATGATAGAAGAGTGACGAGACGTTTATTTCAAACAATCTCTTGATTGAAGATATATGTCAATTACCGTGGAGCTATATTCGTTTTGGCGTGACGTGATGTTTCTGAATTTAGAAGCTTTCTCTTTCAGAATATTCCGTATATTGCAAGAAAGTCGGTGGGCCCACTTTCGGAGGATGATTGGCTAACTGAGTTTTTACTCTTTATATCATCACTTTACTGGCGCTGCTCAAAGTTTCAAACTTTTTAATTCAGACAAATATAACTTTCTGAAGACTCAGTTGTCGGTTAGTGGGCTGAAAAGTAAACAAAAGGGCCCACTATACTCAACCATGGGCCCTCCGCCTCGAGCCCATTATCCTACTTTTGGTAGCGGCCGCCGGCCGAGTAAATCTCCGGTGGAGACTCTTCAACTTCCACCACTGCCGCTGCCGGAAATACTTTAATAAGGCCTATAAAAGTCTGAGGATCTCTTTCGCTTTGTTTTTGATGATGACCTTTCGATCCCACATCCAATTCCACTTGCCCCAAATATTTATATATTTTCTTTCAATAGACATAATTTGTCTTAATCCATGATTTAACTTTTTGACCACGGATAAATAATGCAAGGGAAAAAGTTTCACCTTTTTCTTTTTTTTTTCAATTTTTAATTTTGTACACCAATTTGGAAAACTTCTATTAACTTTTTAAAAGTATTTGTAAGATGTACAATTTGTTCTAGAAACAATAACAAATATATCAAAATTTAAAAGTTAAAATGATTGAAAATATAAAAATTCTTTTAAAATTTTAAATCACCGATAACTTAAATAATAGTAATTGATTTGTGTTATATTTTATGTGATAGTAACAGCTTAACGTTGAATAACTACAATAATTGTAATTTACTAATGTATCCAAATCATCCTTATTGAGTTATTTCTATTTTGATTTTAGATTTATAATTATAATATTTTAGTTGCTATATTTGTAATATCTTACCTAAATCTTCCTTCTCCCTCTCCTTCCACTTCCATCGACCTTGGAACTAAAATAAATATTTTTGAAAAATGAGAAAAGTTAAAAATTAAATTAAATATTTTAAAAAACCATCATGGTCTAAAATTCTCTAAATTGCATCCATTGTACATACTAGATTTAGAGTAGGACACAAGACTACGGATACTTTCTTTTGTCATTAGTTTGCAAAGTACTTAAATATTGAAATTTTGTATTTAAATTACATTTTTTAAATATTTATGTTTAAAACTGCTCTAACTTTAGAATTTTATTTTATTTTATTTTAATTACATGATTTCAAGACAACCCTAAATTTGCTTCGGCCCAATAATAGGAGATGACCACTTGACTATGCGGTCTGTGTAAAAGCTGATGGGCCGAAAAGGAGGTAAATGGAGAAAAGGCCCACGGAGTTGAGGCTGCGTTATACCTGTAGCCAAACACAACTGAAGATATATATTTTATTTATTATATTCCCCGCCATCTGACCACTCCGACCGGCAAAATTTGGCGCCAAATCGGGGGCTTTGCTTCTTCTTCTTCATCTTCATTCTTCGTCTTTGAATTTGGTCTTCTGTTCTTCACTCCGCAAGAATGTCAGACATCTTAAACCGTCTCGAAGAAATTTATACCCTGATTTGTTCTGGAATTAAAGCAAACAAGTCACTTGCTTACTCCACTCTTCTACAACTTCAACAGGCGTCTATTACCAATCATGATTCCATTGATGCCCTAGCGGAATTTTCTCGGGGTTCGATCCAGCTTATTGTCTCCGACACACAAGACGAAGACGAAGAAATGTAAAGCTTACTTGGAGTCATATTGATCATCGGTTACTACTTTCTTCGAGTGACTGAATCGTAGTTTTTCTTCTCTTACTTTACACGGTCGAGTGGTTTATTGAGATAACTAAAATTTGGGGCATTTATGTTATATTTTCTGTTTAAGAATTATTTGGCCTCTTATTAGAATCCGTTATCATGTATTTGAAGGCCGAACTTGTTAAGTTGCTAATTCAGATTTTTTTACATTTGTTTTCTCCATATTTATGCATTTGATGGACCGAAAATGGATTGTCTCCTGAAGTTTATGCTATCTTTTTACCTTCATTTCAGCGCCGCACATGCATTGAAGTGTTTAGGATTCATAATCTATCACCCCTCCATCGTTGCTGCTATTTCGGGTGTGTACTTACGGTCTTGGGGCATTCTTACAATTTTTATTGTGAAGTTCATACCTATGACGACAATTTTCATCCACCGTTCACTAAAGTAATACTCGTAACTTAACTATAGAAACGTTAGTCTAAAAGCACTTATCCAAATTCACCAGCTAAAGGTGTTTGGTGCTTGAGTGGAAATGCTTAAAATAACGAGAAACGCCAATGGCTATTAATTTATTTATTTACATTTCATAGACATAAATTGCTTATCAACTTATTACATTCATGTATGCATACGTTGTATAAATATAATTACAGCTGCTTAGAGACTGATAGAAAACAACAGCCTGATATACTTATTTCAACCTCCGGTACTGGTATAATCATTATGAATATTTTACCCCGAGGATGGCTTTTAAAGCCTTTAACAGCTAAATTGTTGAGAGTTATTATTTGTTGCCATTGCGTACCACAAAAAAGGTTATGTTATCTTTTTCTTTCTTATCCATGTTCCAGCGAAAGAAGCCAGCTTTATCTTTGAGTCATTGGCAGAACTAATCATTAGAACTAAAATAAAGGTTTGTTCCAGCCTCCAGGATGGCAGTTTCGTCATTCACAGTGTTGATGCCCTCTTTCTACTTTATACTTATCATCCACCTATTCTATTGCAGTCAGTTTGTAACTTAGGAGTGTGGTGCATATCTATTCAACAGCTTGATGCAGACTTTCTTGCCATGCACTTTCAGTCTTTGTTGCTGGCTGTTACTCATGCCCTCGACAATCCCAATGGGTCTTTGTCGACCACTTTTGAGGCTATCCAGGTAAAAAATTTGTTCGATGACTTATCTTTGAGCTGATATTACCTTTTCTATTCTATTGCAGTATGCGGTATCCTTGATTAAAGCTATTACTTACTGTCAAGTCCAAAATTCAACCTTCCCTCCCCCATTCTCAGCGTGTCCTGCAAGTCTGTTCTCCAATATTAATTGATGTGTTGGGAATTCTCTCTGTCTTTTCATCTGATGATTGTACAAGAATTTGTTCTTTCCCCCATTTATGTATATAAGTCAGGATGGATGTATAGATTTCCTGGAAGCTAAGATACTGCTGCTTGCTAACTGGTTACTTTTTCACATTTACTTCTTCAATGCCAATTATAGTAGGATATAGAAAATCGTTTTCCTTGCTTCTAGCTGTATTTTAGGGTTTTCCAATGGTGAATCATGCTATTTTACTCGGCTAAGTAGCCAGTATAGTAGTACAACACTTATCTGATACGTACTCACTAGTCAATTGAAGGAAATGCAATACTCTTTCGTTACTATAAAAAATCCCCGAGCCATACAAGTTCTTAGAGAGGCCCATCTCTCCAGTCCTATCAGTAGCAATTCGCCTTTCTTTACTCAACTCCTATATACCCATACCCCTCACTTAATCCCCCTTGTTTCTTTTTATGTGTCATACCCCGTACAACCGAGTAACAAATTCATATGCACGTTGAACCATACTATCCCAACAACCCAACACTACTAAAATACTTACACTACTATTCGTTCTTCTTCATAGGCTTACCCCCTTCTTTTCTGGCCCATTACTTCATTGCTTTCACCAGGCCCACTCCCTTGTAATGTTTCTCTGTTAAGGTGGTTTAGTCATGGGACTATCATTATCATTATATGGAATCTTCTTAAATATGGACAAAATATGAGCACACACAAGCACTCTGCACACATTGCATGGGTACTCTGTTTTTCTCAGTATATCGTATTGAATATTTCATGACACCTATAGTTCTGATAAATTCACGATTATGGCCACTACTCACCAAAATGACATAAAAATCAACGAGATTCAATTTATTAATTAAATTAATAGCTTAAGTTAAACTAATTATTCAAAAAGTTAATGAGGAAACTTAAAAAGTAATTTTAGGATGACACAGCCTAACATGTTTTTGAAATTGAAAAAAAAATCAATACAACATTGCTTCTGTGCTTTCAATGTTTGTGAAACTTGTTTTTAGTCATGAACCAAATAACTTTAATATTATTGTTCTCTTACTAATTTGATGATTTATCTTTTAATGCTATTACTTTAGGCAATTACAAAGTTGGCAGCAAAATTAAATGATAAAATGAGAGAGTCCTCCTATATATGGGCTCCTCCAATATACAGACGGCTTCTCAGCTCTGATAAAAAGGAGAGGGATATGTCAGAGAGATGTTTGTTGAAGACAAGGTCCACAATATTACCTCCTCCGCTAGTTTTGTCTAAGGTAATAATTCATTGATCTGTTTCTATTGCCTCAAGTGTATTCGTTATTTCTGTGAGAAATAATATTTCATTGATGAGATTACAATGAAGGGACAAAAGCATCTGTTCTCCAGTGGAGTTATAAAAGCTCTCCTCTTGGAGATAATGTAAGGATGGTAATTAGAGGGCATGTTACTAATGAACAATCTAGATTTTGCATTTATACTCACCACTATGCAATAGACTAGTGACTCTAAAGATGATATAAACCACGTAATCTCAGTTATCATTATGTTTGAAAATGAAGAGCGTCAAGAATTTTATCAAAATATCATCTTACTGGATATTTTTGTTCTCTGTTCTCCTTTTTGTTGCCAAAGGTACAAATATGGCTAATGTAGTTAAGGCTGTATATAGGAAGCTTCAGCTTGAAATAAATCGTAATTTTTTTTTCCATGGTGTTAACAGGGAAGCCCTAGACTTAACATGGAGTTGCCTGGCTAGAGAGTTTTCAAGTTAACCTTATTTTTTTTTTAATTAATATCAATTGGAGAATTTTTTAAATCTCCTTTGCTCGAGTGAGTGAGACTTGGGAGAATGTCTGGTTTGGCTCTTAAAATATCCTTTTGCACGTGACTTTTTCTATATAAAGTTTCTTATTTAAAAACAAATACTATCTTATTACTTCTCCCCAAATTAAGAAAATATTATAACTTAGATCTTTCTTTAATGCACTCGTAAAAATCACTTCAAATCTTCAGAAATGGGACACTCCTTTCTTTCTGTTAGGGGTCCTTTTACTAGAAAGATGCAGATTATCTTTATGTTATCGCATTTGACTGTCAGAAATAAGGTAATATAAACGATCCTTGTTTTGGGATTTAGAAAGGCAACCTGTTATGGTTGTTCAACCATAGGTCTAGACTGAAAGTATGGATGTTGGCTATAATGTGTCTTAGAATCAATCATGTGACCTCGTTCTAAGAGGTCTGAAAAAAGCATAATTTGTATTTAGGGATAATTTCAATTTGGAGACCTGTTACTAAGCAGTGAAGCATGTAACTTGATATTTTGATAACGGAAAACTGAAAATATTGTAACTTGATATGGTGCAACCATTATCAGTTGATGGTTGACAACACAATAAATGCAAATAAGGACACTCAATTCTTGGGGAAAATGAAGGTGGAAGAAAGAACCGTGAGATGCTTCCAAGCTTATTTTCCACTCTTGTACAGAAGCCTGGGTAAGGCCATAAGGGATAAGATAAAAAATAATATGAAACACGTCATACTTTTACAGTATCAAAATTTTCCTATACTAACTTTGTCTACTTCAACAGGCGCTTGCGAAAGATATGAAAGAATCATTGCTTATTGAAATGGATAAGTTATTAAATCTCGGAATGAAGGTTCAGACTATTGCAGCTTGGGGATGGTTCATACGCATACTAGGATCTCATTCCATGAAGAATAAAAGTTTAGTAAATAAAATGCTTAAAATTCCTGAGCGGACATTTTCAGATCATGACCCTCAAGTTCAGATTGCATCACAGGTACTTCCTACTGTATCACTCTTTATATCCAATTCATCAACTTAAAGAACTATTAGAATGTTGGGTTTAAATTTCAAGTTGGTCTCAACTGCATTATATGACATACTCTCAGAAGTAGAAAAAGTTAATGATATGCAAATGTAATCTTCCGGCCTTCCAGTTCTAAGTAAAACTTGGTAGATTGTATAGGACTTAGTTAAAGAGGATAACCATCGTTCTTGTATCAATTGGGCTTCTTCGAAAGCTTCTGCACATGGGACTAAGGTAGACTAATCTCTACGACCGTTATTTTCTTGTTTAGCTCCAAACTTGACACTACAAGTCTTGGTAGCCCGAAAAATCATTGCAGAATCAAAATTATATTAGATGTTATAAAAAAGATATACATTGTGTTCCTGCTTGATGGAAGTTTTGTTAATTGTTTATTAATAAATATGAATCTCATTCTTTTTTACTCCTCAACCTTGCAGGTTGCATGGGAGGGTCTAATTGATGCTCTTGCTCACAGTCCAACTCTCATGTGTGAGATTAATGTGGTCAAGGAGGACAATAATCAAACAGTGCAAACATTAAATGGGAATAACATTGAAATCCAGGGAAATGGGTTTTCAAAAAGCATAAAGCTCATTATGGTGCCTTTAGTCGGTGTCATGCTGAGTAAATGCAACCTATCTGTTCGCTTGTCTTGTTTGAACACATGGTATTATCTGCTCTATAAACTTGATTCTTTCGTTAACAGTCCATCCATGATGAAAGTGGTATTGGAGCCTATTCTAGAGGCAACTTTTCGGCTTGTTCCAGATAATGAAAACAGCAGGCTGTGGAGTATGTGCTTAAGTTTGCTGGATGATTTACTATTGGCAAAGTATTCACACATGCACAATGACTTACCTGTCCAGTTATGCGAATCAGAAGCAGTAGCATCCAAGATTGAAAATCTAGAAACCGGGAAAATGTCTTGGAAGCAGTATCCTATAAGGTGGTTGCCATGGAATCTAAATCTGTTGGACTTTCATTTAAAGGTCATTTGTTTTATCACCACTTCTGCATCAATGGAAACCTTCACCAATGAGAATAGGACTTTCGCATATGATGCTTGCCAGAGGCTATTTAAATCTGTCCTAAGAGGAGTCCGGTTAGAGCTAAAAAAGCTGTCTGCTAATTATGATGATGTAATGTTTGCTTTGAGGAAAACTTTAAGGTTTTTAAGACATCTGTATGACGATATAAGCGCTGATGCCAATATTCAGCTTCAGCATAATTTACATTATGCTATCCTTAATTTTATTCAGGCTGTCACCAAGGAGTTAGAACCTACTATACTCGAATCCCCTCTTTATGAGGTTGAATTAGACCTCAAGGAAATAGACACAATCCAATCAGTCAACCACATCAACTATGCAGAAGTTCTGGGTATCCATTATATATCTTACATGGGTAAGGTATCGCCTATAGTTTATTTAGTAGTAATGTACTCTTTAGTTGCGGTTCAGTGTACTTCATCAATGTGCCTGACAGATTGCGTCCTGAAGGAAATGCATGAATATTTTGAACTTGTATTTTCTTCATTTACTCCGCCAGATAATCTTCTTGCAGCGATTTTAATTCTGTATAATAACCTTGTGCCTAGTAGCCTAAAAATATGGATGGCAATATCAAAAGGTTTGATGGAGAGCAGTAATATGAGGAATTATTTCCTATTTAGAACCAAGTCAGAAACTGCAGGGGTGAATACCATATGCCATCTCTTCTCTTACCCTTTTGTTGTATGCTCATTAAAAAAATCGTGTGGCTCTCCACTGGAAAAGCTTGAGCTTGAATCTGTTGTCCAAGTTTGGAAATTGGTTTATAGTTCTGTGAACACATTGCAGCTTGAGAGTTCCATGAGGATTAGTTTCACGGAGAATTTTGCCTCTATGTTAAGCGGATGCCTCAATGATCAAGGCATGCTTGGGTGTGCGAGTGAATCTTGTTCAAGTTGTGAAGACTTTATTGCTGATTTCCTCTCAGTACTTGTTGACATAGTTATAAACATCTTGGAAGGGCTTCAAATTTCTGGTAGAAGTTCAGATAGGATTACGAGAGAAGACAGTATCTCAAAAAACTCCAGCTGCGCTAGTAGTAGCTTGAGGTTGGCTGCCAGGTAAATGTAAACATTACTTGTTTGATTCTAGTGAAAGATCAATAGCAAGCCATATTGTAGTGGTTTTCTATTATTTTATTAGACATGCCACTGGGCCTCAACTATAAATGAATCTTTGGTTCACTTTGCCTGGGAAATATTCCGACCTATGTAATACATTTGGAAGAGTTTTTTGACTGCAAGAAGATGATTAAATTCTCAAACTGGGGCTGTGATCAATCAACATCACAGAATATATAAATTATAAGAAGCCACAAAGCCAATTTCAAACTCTGATGTGAATTTGAACTTGCTAAATTTTTTTTAATATATATATATACACAATATTCATCATAGACTAAATCGAGTGGTTAACTTTACTCTTTCCATTTCTTGTAATTTTAAAATAGATCCTGAGTTGGATTCATTTATTTTAGCTGAAAGAGACTGGGTTTTTAATTCAAGAATTGTGAGTGATGAAGGGAGAACTCTAGTTAAAATTGATCTTATGAAATATAGGCTATTTGTTGTTGAATTTTGTGAGAGTTTAATGCGACACCTCTAGGAAATGTCATGTAAATCACGATAAATATTGTGATTTGAGTGATATTAGTCTATTCTGTCTCTGTGGCACTCCATCCCTAACTCTCTAACTTTTCAGTTTCTTGTACCTGGTACAGATTTATTGAACTGTCGTGGATAAGGCTAGGAAAAAATCCATCAAGTTGGCTTTCCAGGTATTTTGGATCGATTAGTTCAATAACCTGCATGTGCAAGTTATTGCTCGCATTTTATTTTTGTTCATATCTCACCTCAGTAAGGATGTTGCAGACTATTTTCAGCATTGGCTCAATTTGTCAGCTGCCTTCATTTGAAACAAGATATCTTTGAGTTCATTGAGGTACATATTCACTTAATGTTCTACGTATACTTGAACCCATTCTGATCAGTGATCCGAACACACCATAAAACACACATAGAATTTATGAATACCATGAAAGCATGTCACTGGGCTCCATCAGTCTTGGGATCATGCATTTAGTTGAACCATATACCAACAATGTACTACTAGGACAATTAGTTTTCGGATTCTCGTTTGATTTGGGTGGTGATTATGAATTCATGATCCTGAAATGTTTATTCTTCACTCTGAAACTTTGTTATTGCAATTAGTTTCTTTGCTGATCCTGAAATGGTTTAACTATGCTCAGGAATCTATGGCTCAAATAACTGGTTTCTCAATTTTTTTTTCCTTTTGATTCGGCGTGATCCTGAAGTTTTCTTCTTTAAGTCACAGAGTACTAAGCTATTGTAGTTATTTTCTCTGCTGACATTGTATATTGCCTTCTATCTCCAGATTGTATCCTCTCCATTACTTTTATGGTTGACAAAAATGGAGACATTGAATGAAAGCATTAGCAGTCAGCTTCAAATCCTATGGGCTGAAATCATTAGTTGTCTGCAAAGGGGCTGGCCTTCATTAGCCAATGACTCTGGCTTCCTGAATCTTTTGGCACCTCTACTTGAAAAAACTCTTGACCACCCTAATTCCTCGATTTCTGTGCCAACTATTACCTTCTGGAATTCGTCATATGGTGAACATTTAGTTTTAAGTTACCCACAAAATTTGCTCTCTGTATTGCACAAGCTATCAAGAAATGGAAGACTAAAACTCCGAAAGAGATGCATGTGGGCCGTTGAACAATGCCCTGCAAGACAAGAAGATGCTGATCGTCCCTTTAGCCACAGGGTGAGTGGAACATCCATCAGGAGCTCAAAAATAATTGAATTAATGACAACTACAAAACAGGACAAGCACAAGCGCAAGGAGATACCTATTTTGAATTCGAAAAGGAAGAAGATAGAACTAACTCAACATCAAAAGGAAGTACGACGTGCTCAACAAGGACGAGCACGAGATTGCGGTGGACACGGCCCGGGCATTAGGACCTACACAACCCTTGATTTTTCACAAATGGTAAACGATTCAGAGGAGAGCCAGGATAGCCAAAATCTAGATTCCATCTTGGAGATGGTTAAAACTGATCAACTGCCTCTTCGTTGAAGTTCAAATGTGATGGCAAAGCACACAACTGATCCATGTTGCAAATGCATTGCCTTTTGCTCAGTTCTCATAAGCCTTGTATAGTAGCTGCCATAATTATATTTCCTTTTCTAGCATGCTTGGTAATTATTTGCTGCATGGTTTGTATTTGACCCGTGCGTTCTGCTCTTTTTTCTTTTGGGCAGATAATGTATAGGATAAATTGATTTTATTGTCTCTTCTCTCTCTTGTTAATAATTGATTAATCTATTTACTTATTGGTACATTCGATCCAAGTGTTAACATCTTGATCGAAATCTCCAACGAATTTATTAATCTAACATTGAAATTGGAAATTTATTGACCTTTTATTAAATTATAAATTCTAGCACAACATTTAAAAATAAAAAGGAATTCTAAAATACGGCGATGGCTTTATATGGAACGGGATGAGATTTTTTTAAGTACTACTGTATAAGATTCGAACTCATCTGATCGAATATAAGTGACATAATTTATTGAATTCTGGATGTGATTGTTTTTTTTCCATAATTGGGAGTCAAAACTTTACTTCCTTATATTTAGAGGCGCTCATGTCCGTCCTTAGGCCAGATTCAAGAGACGTTAAGAATTTTTAGTATTAAGTTCATCCTTATTATTATAGCAAACATGAACGTGCTCTTTTCAAATTTTTAGTATCTCGCCCTCCTATCTTTCTCAACTCATTCGCCGGAGTATGTTGGGTTGGAATGCCTCCATTCATGTCTTATCCTTTATGATCTCTAGACCTTCCCTCTACGTGAAGGTTTGAACTTAAGACCTCAAATCTTGAAATTCATGAGATATAAAGATCTTTTGATATTAAGATGGATAAAATGTCTGACGTTGAAATCTCTAAGTTAATATAATCGGGATTTAAAAGAGATTGCAAGTATTGCAAATTGTGATGAGACTTGAGACGAGGCGTAGTGTTTTGAGTGGTAAAAATTTGTAAAGAAAAAACTTGAGAGATTTGAGAGTGGCACTTCCACTCCAATTGTGTCAACTTGGTTTCCCAATTAAGTCGACTACTCGACTATAGTTTTTATTTAAGCTCTCTCAGTTTYTCTCTCCTCGTTCCCTCCCACCAGCGAAAATAGACGCATTTCAGCAAAACAGGAGAAACCAGGTGTCCTCCTCTACGATTAATCCATACTTTAGGGTTTCAAAACCTCCAACTTCCATTCCTTTCGAGCTTTTTTCCCCTCGATTTCGTAGTTCAAAATCCCTCACTTCACTTCTACTTGTAGCGCACTTTTAGAATTTTGAACTTCGAAATTTTAGGGCTTCTTTTTGCTTCCCCCTTATCCGTCACCTCATTTTCTTTTGCAACCAGGCCCTTGATTTTATTTCTTTTATTTGGATCCAATAATGGACGCTCGAGATTCACCTTCATCGGCCGCCCCGAATCGAGATGGCTCCTCGTCGGCTGCTGAGGAGGATGGTGCTGTATCCGTCACCGCTGCTCTTGCTAAGGATGCAGCATCGCTTTTCCAATCGGGAAAGTATGCTGGGTGTGTAGAGGTCTTGAACCAGCTGTTGCAGAAGAAAGAAGACGATCCCAAGGTTCGATTTCTTGCACCATAATCTAAGCTTGTTTCTTTTTTCTTTTTCTTTTTCGAGGGTTAATAGTTGCCGTAGATATGATTTAACCTATTCAACGATTTCGTTAGTTCTATATGTGCAAATGCGGTTTAGACTTTTGAATTCTATGATGGTGAAATGTTGAGCTCAGAAATAATATGTCGGGGTGTTTTTTTCACCTTAGCGAATGTCGGAATTTGAATTATTTTAGGATAACATACTAGAATTCCGAGCAATTCCATTGCATGATTAGACCGCGCCTAGGCTATTCTAATAGAAAATGCAAGTGGGTTGTCATTTTAATTTTTCACTGAATGTTATCATTTTCCTTGGGTTTTATGATAGTAAGCACGAATTTAGGTTGAGGTGGTAGTGTTTCTGTTGGTACAGTATTTCATTCCTGCTTATCATTGGTCGATTTGAATGTTAGTCCTTCTAGTCCTAAAATTGTTACCTAAACCTCTGATGTGAAGGTGTGATGCGTACAATAGAATTTCCCTATGAACTGATGGCCTGGAAAGTATTTGGGTTTTCAGAAGCTTAACTAACAAGCATCGGTGATCCGTGATCAACTCCACTAAAAGCTTCATAATCAATCGAGGAAGATTGGTTTTACGAAATACGTGACAATTTTTTTATCTGTCTGTGGCTGTAATCATTCCCATTCCAAGATTCCGTACTTACAATTTCCTGAGCTTTTCATTTTTGAAGTATGGAGATAAATTCTGAGAGAATAGAATAAATGTAATAATGACCCTGCTAAGTGCTGATGGTAACCAGAATTTTGCTCTTTTTGTTAGTCTGTCCAGGACTCCAGAGTCCAATTTGGTTGTGATCATATTGTGGGCAGAACGCATGTTGAGTGAATTGGAATCTTTGCTATTAGTTAAAGTCGATAATTGACAATTGATATATTGCTCATGAAATGAAATTAAATCAATTTCATGAAACAGGGAGTATTATATGGGATTTTAAAGGCATTCTCCGAAGGAAGTGCTATTCTGAGCAGTTCCTAACTTGGATCCACTTTACTCTTTCAGAGGAGATTGGTTTTTATATTAATTTTAGTAATAGCTCAAGTAATTAATGGTTGCATATTTAAAGAGTGACTTCAGATTTCAGGATGAATTATGATAATTTTTATGATACCTCTTCTATTATGATTTTATTTATAGATTGGGCCTTGGGGTGGAGGGAAGGTTTGGGAGAGATACCTTTACGATACTTATTTTCGAGTTATATAACTACATAAATGTTAGGCAACAATATTTTTAATTTTCAATATCTATTCAATTGGCTCTATTACAAGTATTTTGTTCAGAGTTTTTAACTCGACTTATTCTGATGGGACATCTCTTTATGTATATTTACTTTGAATTCTTGCTTCTTGGTGAATGGTGATTTGCCATGTTGATTTTGACTTGAATCCAATCCTCAGGAATGCATCTTTATACGGAGCCTTACGATGATGTTTTGATTTTTGTTATTAAACAATTTAATAACATTGGATTTAGCAATAAATTTTAATCTTGATGCTTCATTTGGTACTTAAATTTTTTTTAAAGAAATCTCTTGGCACTTCATTGATTGATGTCTTTGTCAGGTACTTCATAATATCGCCATTGCTGAATACTTGAGGGATGGTTGTTCCAATCCTAAGAAGTTGCTTGAAGTATTGAATCATGTCAAGGTATGCCCTTAGCCCCAAACGAATTCACACATCTACTTCTTTTCCCTGTTTGCGTTCTGTTGCAACTTGCAATAAATTTCTGTTCCTATTGGACCATTGGTACCAAAACAAAATTGGTATGTTACTATTATACTTCCTTTTGGAAGAACTTTTTGTTATCACCATAATCCATTGCCTTGCTTAATTGAACTTTGAAGTTTTAATTTTTAAAGTGGTCTTTTAAGTTATTGATTTGGCATAAATTTTATTATATATTTTACATATTTTTGGATGTCTTGACTCTTGTATAGATGCAATCAAAATGTCTTTCTTAAGTCAACAATGGTACAAACTTTTTAACTATATTAAGGTGTCTCTTTTTGTTTGTTTCATCAATTGAAAATCTTCATTTTTTTTTTTTTTTTTAAGGTAACTTATAAATTTTTTACGGCATACCATATAATTTTAGTAGAAAAATTATGAAGGAAAGATAATACATGTTTTATCTTAACTCTAGTCTAGTGAGGATCATAGTAAATCTTTTTTCCATGGTGTATCATGCAACTAAAAGTTCAAGGATTTGAACCTACATAATTAATAATTGAAGAATTTGGCTTTTAGCTTTTAGGCTTTATTTTTATTTTTATTATTATTACTTTTTTAATAATTAAAATTTATAAGAAGCTGGAACAATATATTCAAAAGAGCCCTCCCGAGACGGGAAAAACAACAAGAGGTAGAGGGTAGAAGGGTAAAATGTGGTTCCCACCCTCGTGAGGTACACTAGTAGGGATGCACTTATTGAAGTCCTAAGTTTCTAATCTTAATCAAGTAAAATAAAGGACAAAATCTAGATATGTGTTGGAAAGTGTAGAATATAAATTAAATATAAGGACGATGGTTTTGAAGGTTTCTTTGCTAATAGAAGAGTATTTCCTGTGTGGTCATATTTCTTATTTTCCTTTTAATAAATAAAAAAAGTAGAAGCCTCCCTAAGCTATATGAATCACTGTGAGTTAGAACTATTTCATGAATTTAGCACATTATTAACTTTTGGTTTATGCCCTTCATATTTATGGTTGATTTTAGGAATGATTTAACTTAATTAGGATTTGGCCTGGCCTTTGCTGATTGACCGTTTAGTAAAGTAGAGATGGCAACTTGTGGCTAATATTTCCCAATTGTTGATCTTTTCTTTGCTTGCATTTTGCTTCTCCCATCTGCCTATTTTCTTTTTTTTTTTCATTTGTTTCGCATCAATTTGTATAAGGAAATTGGTAATGTTTCCATAACTTGCAAAGGTAAGAATTCCCTAATGTGTGTATACGTCATTGTTTTTTGGGTCTTCTTCCTTGATCACAAGTATATATTGTTAGTGACTATATTTTAGACATGCGAATATGGATAACTTGGGGATGACATTTTTTCCGCATTTAGAAGTTGTCAACAACGGCATCACCATTTGTCCACTTACAATTTCCTCCCAAAAGGAGGGTCACTGGCTTTGATCATCTTATTCCTTGTTGATAACCTATTGACTACTCTCTATTCAAAATCCCTAACAAACTAGGTAGACCATAAGAGACTTTTCTGGGTGATTTGGAGAAAAGAGCTCATCTAATAAAATGGTTTACAGTTTCCCTCCTTATGGAGCAATTTTCAATTTGAAAGGAATATAATGATCTTTGAGGTTGCAGAGGGTTCTTGGATGATGTATGAAATTTTGTACATTTTGACTCTTCTTATGCCCATTCTTCTTGTGATTTTTCTTTCTTTAATTTCCACTGATTGGAGTCCTTTCTTGTAATTACTTATTGGTGGCTCTTGTGTTG